GGGTGGCTTTCATTTGATGTAGGGAGAAGATGACTACGTATTTGAAAAATCAGAAGTCAACTTTTGGGCTGAGACGCTGACCTTCGTGAAATACCTATGTAGGCAGCTCTTCCATCTCCTCTGTCAGTCTGACTGGCCGGCCCCTCACTCCCAGAAGCTCTGTCACCTGCAAACTATAGCATCAGAGCAGCGTCACCTCGTCTCTCAGCTCCTCAGAGAACTTCCACCGTCGGCTGAATTTTTGAAGACAGTGGAGTACACAAGGCTGCGCATTCAGGAGGAAAGGACTTCAGCTGTCCTGAGGCTGCTGGCCTTCCTGGAAGGAAAGGAAGTTCTCAGAGCTGAAGACTGTCCTAGGGAATGGAGACAGTTGATGGCCCCAAGAACAGAAGCAGCATGCTGAGAGACGGCTGGCTGGGCCAGGGAGTGGATTCTCTCCCAGCTCTGCTCTACAAGAAACACGTTGGACAGAAATTGAAACTCTTTCCTTTTGTGCCTCCCCCACTTGTGGGAGCCTAAGCTTCTTCCTGCAGAGTGCTTTGTCTTTACACTCATCAGGGCAGCCCAGTTTACAGCTCCTCTAGGAAGTGAGGCCGCTATGTTGAATATTTACTCTGTTCCCAGGTGCAGGCCACCTGCAGGCCTGAATTAACCTTTTCTATCATGAAGAACTGCCAGTCCAGCCAGAGTATATTTTCCATACACTGACTATGAGTTTTAGCACACACAAGTTCCCCCACCCCACGTACAGACAGACAAACACACACACACACACACACACTGCTCTTTTGTCTGTTTTGGTTTGGGCTCTGTATAGGAGCTGTAATACTTACCAAACAGCCTATTTGGCCATATTTCTAAACTTTCTTCCATTTTAGCAATAGAGAAATATGTCCCAAGTGTTGGGTTCTGTAAGAACTAAGAATCCACCCCAGGCAAATACTTGTGCTTTATTATCTACATGCACAAGTCCCTCCTGTCTTTCCCAGAAACGCCTGTGAATGCTAGGAAACCTGGTTGTTGCCATCAGCTATTTGAAGGAGTTTGGGCGAAAGAGAAGCCTGAACAATTGCTTGATTAGTTTGACGCCTACACTGTTTACTGTGCTGTGATTGGTGGACGCAATGAAATGACTCTTATTTCAGATGTTAATAAACACATTTAATCCACTTCAGTGATTCCATCTAGAAACCTTAAGGGTTTCCTCAGTTCCAAGCCCAGCCAACATGCTTCCCCAGATACCCAGCAGGTGGCACCCTTGCACACATTATGCAGCTAGTCTACTTCTTTAGCTTACTATCTTAAAACTTATTTTAAACTATTATCAGCACTGTGCATGATGGTCGGGCACCCATGCCACAGCATGCATGTCTGTGGAAGTCAGAGTCAGTTCTCTCCTTCCACCTTTACATGGGTTCCAGAAATCCAACTCAGGTTCAGGCTTGCATAGCAAGAGCCTTTATCCACCGAGCCATAGCATTGCTGGCCTGGCTTACCACTGGTAATGCATACTTTCACCACAGACAGGTCCCATCAAATTGGATGTGCTGTAGCCTGATCCACATTCCTAGTTACCTACAAAGACCATGCCAGCAATAGTTAGAAACTTGTAGGGGCTATAAATCCGCTCCCAGATGAATGGTCACTTAGGGTTACGGGGAAAGGGAATCCAATGCAGACTAGAGAGGCATTTACCAGGCCCTTCCCTTCTGCAGAAAAGCTGAGATTTCGAATGGAATTGGTCCTTGAAAAGAATACCATCCAGCACCATTTAAAAAAAAAAAAAAGGTAGAGAACTTGTCTTTAGGAAGAGGAAAGACAGGGCAGTGTCTCTAGCATCTCTGAGGAAGACCAGAAACCCCCTAGGTGGTTTTGCAAACATTCAGCGCCAGGTATTTGCATGACCCTGTAGTACTTACCTAGTTAGGCACCAGTCTAGCCGGCCTTGAGAAATTAAACACCTAATGTTTTTTAGTTTGTTTTGGGTTTTGCTTTTCAGAGCCAGGGGTTAGCTGTTTACCCCAAGCTGGCCTCAACACTTGTGTTAACCCTCCTGCCTTCCAAGTGCCAAGATTACAGACACACACCACCACGCCCAGCTTTATACTACTTTTTTTACTATAAGATCTACTTGGTGAGAGGGGCTGGTGGTGTCATGGGATGATAACTGTGGGACATTAATTCTGATCAGGGCCCAACAAAGGCCAACTCACTGGCGAAACCAACCGTCCCTCTCCCCTCCCATCTCGAATGAAATAAAAGCAGTTACATAACAATAAATCTATCTCACACCAGCAGGCACGCTGCACCAAAGCATGTACCAGAACATGGTTACCTTATCTCCAAGTGCATCCTACCAAGTCTACAGTGGGTGTTCTCGCTGCTGCTGGCTGGGAATTACCCCAGATTTGGATCTTGACTGGCTATGACCAGCCTTGGGGGGTGGAGGGGTTGGGGGAGGCAGGAGGGATGGATGTTTCCACGGGTTTGTATCTGAAATCCTTCTAGCAGCAGCTAGGTGTATGGTTGCTCCACGCTTTCTTGAGAGGAACCTGGAAAACCTTAGTCACAGAGAACATGTTTGGGGGTCATTTAGGCCACAGGTACCCAGCCCTGTCTAGGGGACCAAGCAACACTGATGGGAACAGTGAAGCAGCCATCTTTCTTGAAGTCACTACTTACTTTTGACTCCAAGCTCTAGGGTCCTAAGATTTGGGTGACCCTCAGACCCTCTGCTCAGGCCACAGCCAAAAGCCAGTTTGCTTGACTATGTAAGATGGTGTGGGCTTTATCTACCTTTTGGACACCTTCTTGGGTATTTTGTGCCTGGACAAAAGTGACAGAGGGATGTGTAAAGGATGAATTTTATCTTCGTGTTAAAAGTAAGAAAACCCAAGTACCAAACAGACCACGTGACTTACCGGGGTTAGAACCTCAGCTCCTATCCATATTTTTTTGTTTGTCCTTTATTGAGGTACGGTCTCCCATTGAGCTGTGCTAGGCTGGCCTAAAATGCAACTCAGCCTCCCAGGTGCTGGGCTTATAGGAGCTATACCCACTCGGCACTAATTTTTTACCCTGAAGCCCTCCAGCTTTGCCCTGGGCTGTAACTACAGGGGCAGCAGGCGCCTCCATATTGGCAAATGCACGCTGAACTCGGGAGCCTGTTGAGTGACAGGTCCTACCTCCTTCCCTTGCAGGTTAACTGATACAGCCCAGGTGCATACTGGACAGAGTGCAAGTAGACAGGAAGAGCAACGTGGGAAGGGTGTAGATCAAGCGTCCTTCCCTGGCAGCTGCTGGGCCTTCCACCCAGGGCAGCCTGAGCTGCCAGCTGGGTGAAATCATGGGCCCAGCTCCAGCTATTGGCAGCCAGTATGGAGTCAGTGTAGAGAAAAAAGACCTGACTCCAGATCGGTCGGCCGAGAAAAGCTGTGGGTGGCTTTAGCCTCACTGGGCGCTAGGTGGGGGTGTCTGCCCCCTCTCAGAAAGAGCCGGGCGACTTTTGGGAAAGCTCATTTTTCTACTGAAAGCTAGTGGGGGTTACACCAAAAACAACAGACTAGGACCCTCCTCCCCCAGCCCGCGCGCGCGCGCGCACACACACAAACCCTAGTGGCGGTTCAGCAACCACCGCCTCCTGCAGCCAGCACAGAGCTTAGATTTGATGCGGTGCCTCCCACAGCCCAAGAGAGAAGGTTGCAGGACTCGACAGGCTAAGGCTGTGCAGGGCGGGAAGCCTTGGCCAGCAGCTGCACCCCCACCCAAGAGGATTGGGGAGGCCAAGCCAACCGGCAGACAAAGGTGAAGGAAGTGACTTCCTCCATGTCCATACTGCTCCCCCGACTTCCCTCTAGTTCCCCGAGCGGGTTCTCCCGCCCCGGACACACCGCGCCACTCCGCGCCTTTGGCCCAGGCTCAAGGTCTTGTGATGCGATTAGCAAAGCCAGCGCCTTGTCCTTAGACACTCAACCCTGCCCCGCAGGCCCCAGTGCTCAAGTCCTGTTTACTAAGCCTGGGCGGGGAGAAGGGCGGAGAAACGGGCCACTGCTCCTCCAGGCTGGCCGTTCCCGCCCCCACCCCTACTGTGTCTCCACGGGCAGCTGGGTTCGAGCTGCCACCTACGGGACAAGCCGCGAGCCCGAGTCGTCCTCCCCCTCCCCCCGCCCTCTAGTCCCAAGCACCCTTTGCCAATCAGTCTGGCAACACGCATCATTGCAATACTGTTATATTTTGCAATTCCCGCGCGCGAGCAAAACCAAGGGTGGGAAAGAAAAAGCTGTCCCAGTCCGCCTAGCAGGATCCGGCGGGAAAAGGTACGTCCAGGATAGGACTGGCGGTCACAGACAGAACGTGAAAGCGCTTTCAAACGTTATAGACCCAGAGGCGGTGGAGAGCGGGATCTTCCCGCCAGCGCCACCCCAGCAGCACCCAAAGGGGGCCGCATTCTCAACACCGCCCGGACGCCCGGGCTGCCAGCTCCGCCCCCTACCCCCCCCAGGGGGGGAAAATTGGCGGCGGCCAATGAGAGGCCGAGAAGGCGCCTGACGCCCGCAAGCCGGCGGGCGGCGTTGCCTGGAGACCCCGGCGGGTCAGCGTTCAGTCCCCTCCCCCGGTGCGCTTTGCTCCGCCGCCTCGCGGCTCCCGGGCTCTATATAGGGCGCGCGCTCGCAGCTCTCGGAGTTCCACCAGTCCGCGAGCTGCCGTCGGCTCGTGCGGGGGGCGGGCCGGGGCGCCGAGCTGCGCTCTCGCTTCTCCTCTGCCCCCCCACTCCGCACCGCGGCCTCCTCCTTCTGCACGGCCCCGCAAGCAAACTTTCCGTCTCTCCCCGCCTCTCGCCCGTTAATCGTCTCCGTTCGAGCCGGGCCGCACCGCACCGAGGGCCCCTCCCATCCCTCCCCGCTTGCAGTTTCCGACCATTACAGGACCCAGAAAAAATGTCGACCACACTCCTGTCCGCTTTCTACGATATCGACTTCTTATGCAAGGTAAGACAGCGGGGAAGGATGACGGGTTGCCTGGAACCCTTAGAGTTCCGAGACTTGGCTGCCGGGCCCGGTTGGGGCGGAAGAACCCTTCCAAGTTGACTTTTCGGGTGGAGGGAAGTCCTGGAGTTAGCAGCCCTGTGTGCTTGCGACTGTGGGCGTGGAGAGCTGGGAGGGAAGGAGTAGCGGCTGGAGCTGCGGCGCTCCTCCCGAGCCGACTGCGGCCACGCTCCCGGGACTTCCCGGACAGTGTTTGCGCCGCCCACCCCGTGGCCACGGGCCCAGGATCACATGGCTAGACCCGGCGCGGCCCGGGTGGGCGTCCTCCGCTCTCGCCGGCCTGCTTTTTGCGAGTGTAACGGTGGAGGCTGAATTGAAATCGGCAGGAGAAAAGAAGGTGGGCACTTGGGACTAGGTGTTCACCCTGTAGACCTCCCCAACCTTCCGATCTTCATCCCTTACCCACTCCCCTCCCTTTGGCAGACGGAAAAATCCCTGGCCAACCTCAATCTGAACAACATGCTGGACAAGAAGGCGGTGGGGACGCCCGTGGCTGCTGCCAACAGCTCGAGCTTCACGCCGGGCTTCCTGCGACGCCACTCGGCCAGCAACCTACACGCGCTCGCCCACCCCGCTCCCAGCCCGGGCAGCTGCTCGCCCAAGTTCCCAGGCGCCCCTAACGGCGGCAGCTGCGGTCCCGCAGGCGCGGGTGGCCCGGCCTCCTATGGCCAGCTCAAGGAGCCTTCAGGGGGCAGCGGCGGCACGGCGCTGGTGAACAAGGAGAGCAAATTCCGGGACCGCTCGTTCAGCGAGAACGGCGATCGCAGCCAGCACCTCCTGCACCTGCAGCAGCAGCAGAAGGGGGGTAGTGGCTCCCAGATCAACTCTACGCGCTACAAGACCGAGCTGTGTCGCCCCTTCGAGGAGAGCGGCACGTGCAAGTACGGCGAGAAGTGCCAGTTCGCGCACGGCTTCCACGAGCTCCGCAGCCTCACTCGGCACCCCAAGTATAAGACGGAGCTGTGCCGCACCTTCCACACCATCGGCTTCTGCCCCTACGGCCCGCGCTGCCATTTCATCCACAACGCAGACGAGCGGCGGCCCGCGCCATCGGGGGGCGCCTCTGGGGACCTGCGAGCGTTTGGCGCGCGCGATGCCCTGCACCTGGGCTTCGCCCGGGAGCCGCGGCCCAAACTGCATCACAGCCTCAGTTTCTCAGGCTTCCCTTCGGGTCACCACCAGCCACCGGGAGGTCTGGAGTCGCCGCTGCTGCTCGACAGCCCTACGTCGCGCACTCCGCCGCCGCCCTCCTGCTCTTCGGCCTCATCCTGTTCCTCCTCTGCCTCTTCCTGCTCCTCCACGTCGGCGGCATCCACGCCCTCGGGCGCCCCGACGTGCTGCGCCTCGGCGGCGGCTGCTGCAGCAGCCGCGCTGCTCTACGGGCCCGGGAACGCCGAGGACCTGCTGCCCCCCGGAGCCCCGTGCGCCACCTGTTCGGCCAGCTCGTGTGCCAACAACGCCTTCGCCTTCGGCCCGGAGCTGAGCAGCCTCATCACGCCGCTTGCCATCCAGACCCACAACTTCGCCGCCGCAGCCGCCGCCTACTACCGCAGCCAGCAGCAGGGCCTGGCGGGGCCCGCGCCGCCCCCTGCGCAACCCCCCGCGGCCCCCGCGCCGCCCTCGCCGCCCTTTGGCTTCCAGCTGCCGCGCCGTCTGTCCGAGTCGCCCGTGTTTGACGCGCCCCCCAGCCCCCCGGACTCGCTGTCGGACCGCGACAGCTACCTGAGCGGCTCGCTGAGCTCCGGCAGTCTCAGCGGCTCCGAGTCCCCCAGCCTGGACCCCGGCCGCCGCCTGCCCATCTTCAGCCGCCTCTCCATCTCCGACGATTGAGGCAAGGGGGCGCCCGTGAGGGGTTGGGAGAGGCGCTGCAGGGAGCCCCGGGTAGGGGTGACAGTGCCGCAGGCCGGACTTGCAGGTCCCGGCTGAGCACTTGGACTCGAACTCTGCTGGGAGGGGCCCTGCCCCCTCCCCTTTCGGTTTTCTTGTTTTGGTTTTTTTTATTTTATTATTATTACAAAGTTTCGTTCTTGTTGAAATAGAAGCCAACGAACTTTTTGTGTGGATGAACAAAATATTCACAACAGGCGGTTGTGATGCGATAGAACAAAAGATACCAAACACTTGTTTAGGTCTCAGATTCTGAGTTTGAAACTCTAGTTACAAAAAACAAAACATCTGCCCAGCACCAGCAGCTAAAACCACATTCCATCTCTTTCACTTGAAAGCCTTAGTTACAGTCCAGATGTGAGGACTCTTACCTTGGAAGGGGTTCCTAATGTTTGTCTCAGACCAGTGCGAGCCGGCCCACTGCCACCTCCCTCAACTCTAAGAGTCTAGACTCAGTGTGTAATGCCAGGAACATGCCTTGAAACGAGTAGCCTTCAGCCCCGTTTGTCGCGGTTGTTTTTCTTGTTTGTTTTTTAAAAAGTTATGTGTTTTGGGGTGGGGGGGGACCCTTGCATTCCAAAGTTTGATACTGGTCTCATTGCCACCACTTGGTGGGTGTTTCGCTTAGAACCATTTCCTCTGCTCTCTGGAAGCCTCGAGCAGAGCTCAGTTCGTAATTGTTGGGAAGTAAGTGCTTCATTTTTACCTGTCTTGAGTTGATTGGCACCACTGCACCACAACTCAATATGAAAAAAAACTATTTAACTTATTTATTATCTTGTGAAAAGTATACATTGAGGGTGTTGTTCATACTGTATTTATCGAGTATGATGAAAAGCAATAGATATATATTCTTTTATTATGTTAAATTATAATTGCCATTATTAATCGGCAAAATGTGGAGTGTATGTTCTTTTCACAGTAATATATGCCTTTTGTAACTTCACTTGGTTATTTTATTGTAAATGAGTAAGAAAATCTTAATTTAAGAGATTGTATGTAATATTTATTTCATTAATTTCTTTCCTTGTTTACGTAAATTTCAAAAGATTGCATGATTTCTTTACGGAAATCTATCTATCTTGATGCTGTGGAAGTAGTTTGAGAACATTTTGAGTTTTTCTTAGAATGTATAATGGTTGTGGCCCATCCAGCTTTACAGAGAAAGAATGACCACATAGTCGGCAGCCAGGCTCACATGTGGCATGCTTTGCCAGTCCCGCTTTCTACACGGGACAGTGAGGATTCCACCAGTTCTACTGTGACATTGAGTATGAAGACATGTAGCAATAATGGGGAAATGGTCTCAGTGCCTTCGTAGGGCCCGAACTTGCCTTAAATCTTCCTCAACCAAATAAGTATTTCGTTAGTGTTTGTGAGAGAATTTGAATGTCGGATGGGTTCACCTGCACAAAAGGAAAAGTTTTTTACCACTCTTTTTATCTAGCTATAAAGTGAAGAGGGTCATCCCAGCGGTGAAATGGTCTGCAGACCATGAATATGCCTTGTTTCACGACAGCCCAAAACTTGTACTATTAGTTTTCAATGTAAAAAGGTAGGAATGTCTCCTAGGCCTTCCTGGATGGCGAATGAATGAGCAGGCGCTTAGTTCGTATGTAGGTACAGTGGACACCCTGTGCGGACTCTGGACTACTCTGACAGTAGGTTTTTGAATGTAACAAGATGAGTCAACTTGAGTTTGTAATATATTCTGGGGAATCAGTTCACTACAGATTGTGACTGTAAACATTGTACTGTAAATGTTTTGTAGTTTTCCCCCAATAAAATTTTTTGGGAAAAAAGTATTCCTGTGCATAAAAGGAGTGTTCTCTTTAAACCCTAGTAGGTCTCCTCTCCTGGCTTCCAGCATGGCCTTGCCAGGTCTGGGGAGGGGTGTGGGGAGAGGATGTGAGGAGCTGGCCCATTGCAGCAGAGCCTGTATCCACTTGTACCTGTATTTACTTTATAGCAAAGCCTTTCAGCTGAAAGGCTAATTTGGCTGTCAAGGGCATTTGTTGGCTGTTCCCTCTGGTAATAAGATGCATCCCAGTGTTGGCTGACTGGCTGGTGGCAGGGCCTGGCGGGAGACCGCAAGGGGTGTGGCCGGCCTGTGAGTCACCCAGTGGGTCACATGGCTGCCCTGGCAGCTAAAAGGTCCGATTTTTCTCCGCAAAGCCTGACCAGGGCCTGTAGCCTTGATAGGAGCTGGACATGGAGATTTGGACCAGGTTGGGAATCCGGGGTTTTGCTTGGACTTTGGAAAGCTGGGTTACGTCCTTGTTCAGAGAGGGAGGACGGAAGATGAAGCGGGTTAAACTTCTATCTGGGTAATGCCTTGTTTACACAGACAACTTCCTCTGGGAATGAGCGTGTTCAGGCTATTTATGCGAAAGGGAGATTGAGGAGGGCAGAAAGCAAAGTCACCCAGGCTTCTACCGAAGGGAAACAGGGCTGCCTTCATATGCCTGGTTCTCAAAAGTCACTTGTGGTTTTGGGCTTTTGTTTTTGTTTTTACCCCGATCATTTTAAAACAATCACTTTTTAAACTCCTAAAACGATTGGGTTTTTCTCCCCCTCCTGCATACACACAGTTCGGACAACTTTTCCGAAGGAGCCGGGAGATCCAGCCATAGTTGCTTTCTTATTGATAATAGCTGGGCTCCATCAGTCGATCCTTGCCCTGCTCTGGCTGCCCCTGCCTTGGCCAGGGTCTCCTGCGACTCAGCTGAGCAGGAGTGGTGGGGGGTGTCTGAGGGATGCGCCGTGTGGGGCAGATGTTTCCAGTTAAGGAAGATGGAGTTGGTGTTCACTGGAGTGATTTTTTTTTTTTTTTTTTTTTTTTTTGGTTCTTGCTGCCTGAGTGGGGAACAGTTCAAAGTTCTCCCAGATGTTGGGCCTTGGGGGCGGAGGGAGCCGGAGGCCAAGAAGGCCTGGGGTTGAGTGAAGCCCCTGCAGCTCTTTGGCCTCTTGGCCATAAAGAATGTGCACTGGGGAGGAAAGGGCCCCACTGTGGAGCTATTTAGGCCCGGCTGCATTTCAAAGACCGTGTTCCCACTTCATTCCCAAACTTATTTTTCTAGACAAGTACTTTTGATCAGCTGGAATGTTGGACTTCTCTTTGGGGTGAGCCACAGTCATTTTTTAAAACGGCTCTGTTTGAAAACCCAACTGCTAGGCCCTGAAGTTTTTTGTGTTTTCGATGTGTCCAGATCATGGAAAGCTTGGGAGGTAGGTGGTCATTGAGAGTTTTTCTCACCCACACATCAATGGAGACTCTGGGTCACTGTCCTGCAGCAACCAGAATAAACAGCAAACAGCCTCTCCTCCATCACACTTAGGAGAGTTGTTGATTTTTTGTTGTTTTGTACATCCAGGATCTAAAAGTAAAACTTGCAAGTGAGGGCGAAGTAGGAACGAGCCACCACCGGGGGGCTGCATTGGAGGCTGCACTGTGGAGCTGGGAGAGTGGAGGCTCCCGGCCGAGTCTAATTAGAATCCGTCCAGGCAGCTGTGGGTTCAGAATCCACTGCTTCAAGGAGGCCTTACAACTGACTGGAGACGGGGGTGATTTGGAACAATCCAACTAGTGTGCCCCATCTTACAAACTGTTTGAGAAGAGGATGTGGTACAAGCACAGGTCCCGCTGCCTGGGTCTCCTGCCAGACGTGTAAAAGACAGAGCACAGCTGAGGAGCCCTGCGCTGACTGACCTGTGTGAGGAGGTGGAGGACTGGGAGCAGGCCTGAAAGCCCTTGATGCAGGAAAGATGGTGGGCCAGGCTCTTGACTGCCGGGCCTGCTCCTGAGGGAGGGTACTTGCCGTTAGAGCCTGCTTCAGGGTCTTAGGAAAGCCCTCGGGTGGGTGTCTACTGAAAGCTTGCTGGGAGGAAAACCACCTGCAGACACAACTGTCCTCCAGCTTCAGGTGACAAATGAAGGCGGCGGAGGTGACTCGCCCCCAGTTTTTTTAAAACCGGAAGTTGGGTCTCTGCAGCCCTTTCAGGCTGACCCGTTGTTGGACCAGGGCCAGGCAAGCTCTTTTTGTTTGCTTGTTTGTTTGTCTTTGTAACTGCAGATCCTCCTGCCTCAGCCTCCAGCTGATTCAGGACTACAGGTGTGCCCCACAACACCCAGCTGTAATCTCATTTCATTGTATTTACTATTCTGGAGGATGTAGTGAGCTCTAGACGTTCGCAGGGTTTTTGTTGTTGTTTTTTGTCTTGTTTTGTTTTTAATGTTGTTTTTCTAGAGAAGGTTTCTGATGTAACCCTAGCTGTCCTGGAACTCACTCTGTAGGCCAGGCTAGCATCCAACTCACAGAATCCCTCCTGCCTCTGCTGGGATTTAAGACAATGCAGTTTGCAATCTGAGCTACTAGCAAGCCGGAGAGGGAGGGAAAGAAGGCAAAAGGAAGTTGAGGCAGAGTGGGAAGATGGCGCCCCAGCAGGCAGTGAGGTACCCTGTTCCTAATTTACGACGAAAGGAGCTGGGACGTGAAAGGGCGTTCATGGGTGTGCTTGGCAAGGCATCTGTGAAGGGAGGTGTGTGAAGTTGTGCCCACATGGGAGGTGGGTTTGTGTCTGTTAGCCCCGGGTGTTGTTCTGTGTCTATGTGTGTAATGGGTTCAGAAAGGGCTGGTGGGTGTGTGGTTCTGCACAAAGCTGATGCAAGCAAGGGATTCTGACTCTTGTAGAGTCTAAGAGTCTGTGGGTGTTGGTGAGTATGGGTGCATCTTGTGATGTACTGGTTGCATGTAGTAGGGGAGTGTGGGTTTGGGTTTATGCTGTGTATTTAGGGTTTGAGAGTGTGGGAGTCTGTGGGGGTGTGTTTCTGTGTTAGGGTCACGGCTGTGCGTGTGAACAGGTAGGTGCCTGCGACTGTGAGTGGCCCTGGTGGGTGTGTCCTTGTGCCCTGCTGTGTGTGAGTGAATGTGGGTTTGGGCGTGTACGGTGTGTGGCTGTAGCTGTGGGGGTGGGGTGGGGGCCTCCAGTGTGTGAGGAGGTACGCACAGCTTGTGCTTGGGTACGGTTGTGTCAACAGGGGTACGGGGTGTGTCTGTACAGGGTATGTGTGGGGCGGGGGGTTACCAACACCTATAAAGAAAAAGCAGGCCTTCTTAGCAAACCTCTTTCAATTTTAAAACTGCTTTCAAAACCCGGAAATAACTGCCAGGCTGCTATCCACTTCCTGCTGGGCGGGGGCAAGAGCAGGCCGGGTGGGAGAGTGACCACAGCCTCCCAGGCTGCAGGGATCCCAGAGCCACCTTCACTGCTGGGCACACCTGCCAAGGGCAGGCCTCATGGGCCCCTTGCTGTCTGCAGGGACATTTTTAGCAACAGTTCATTCTTGGGGGCTGAGGGAGGGGCCTCTGATTTCCATCTGGGCAGAAATAACTTCTGTCAGATCTTCATTCTTCACCCGGGGAAGTCGCCCCGAAATAGAGAGAAGATGTAAGGACCCGAGACGGATGGGGAAGGAAACTCCTGAGATCATTGAAAGCGAGTTTAAAATATTTCTCTAAAAATAAGCTTTGTTTTTCTTGTGGATTTGTCTGGCACTTGGGGTCCCCCGGTCAGGGTGCTTTAGCTGGTCTGGGAAGCTGGGCGGAATTTTTTTTTTTTTAAAAAAAGCGAGTGTTTCCCAGCTGTGGCCTTGGAAAGTTCTCTGTTTTCCATTTATTAAACTCCTAGTTTCCGGCTAATTAAAATTATTTTCAAATAAAACTCTGTAGCCCAGCAATATTTGATGAAACACAGAATTCCCAGTGACCCTCTGCAGGAGGCCAAGCCAGCTGTGGGCAGCCTGTGTCCCCTCTTCTGGGCTAAAGGCCTGTTTATAGAGAGGAGAACTGGGCCTGGTCCGAGTAAATTCCAGCAGCCATGGCAGGGTGGGTCACCTTCAAGTCTCCAAAAGAGACTCAGAATAACTTACTTTGCTGTTGTTGCTTGGCTGTATTGGTGCTGAACCCCAGGGTCTGGTCGGTGTTAGGCCAGTGCTCCCCACCATGCTAAGACTCCCACACTTACAGCTCGAGGTAACTGGAAAGCTGCTGCCCTACCCATGGCCACCATCTAACACCGTGGGCAGAGCGTCCACTTCAAGGGAGACACGCAAGCTAGATGGGGTTGGCTTTCAGTTTTAATCCCAACACTCAACACTGAGGAGGCAGGCAGGCACAGGCTTTCAGTTTGAAACCAGACTGGTCTATATACTGAGATTCAGGACATAGAGAGAGACCTTGTCTCAAAAAGAAGAAAAACAGGTAAGGGCATAAGTACATTGATATTCCTATCTGGTATGTCTCTCCCTGACCTAGAACTCCCTTGAGACCTCAGGATAGTGAGGTCGCTGTCCCGGGACTTTACACCTACCTTAAGCTCAGATCAGCATGCCTGCCCCAGAGGTGGGTGGAACCCAACAGAAATCCAAAGCCACCTGTTGTTAATAGATGTGAGATACTGCTGTAGGTGACCCCACTGAGGGTAAGGCCAAGCCTGCCGTGATTCACCAGCTGGCCGAGTCCCCATTGGGCGGACCGACAGAGGGGCAGGACGTCGCCTTTGTCCCACAGAGAGTTCGCACTGTCTGGTGAAGGGTAAACTGATTGCTGTTGCCTGCAGGGAGTGGACAGATGAGGTTTCAGGGTTTGCCCGTGGTGTATCAGCCATCCACACTTCGTTCCTTTTTATGGTCGAGACGTAGTCCATTGTATGGATATACCGCAGTCTGTTTAACTAGAGTCGGTGGACCCTGGCGGTGTTAAAAGGCACTGCTAGGGAATAATCAGGTCCAAGTCTGGTGGTAATG